TTGCTAATTGGATTAATAAATTGAGAGAGATTATCAGCAGTTAAAGATTGAATTAAACGATGTACTATGTTTAGCGGCTGTTGTAAGTCCCGATGGTGGTCGCTAGGAAGCAACACGGCACCTAGCCTCACCACCCAAGATGCAACCTGTCAACCCAGCCACCAAGACGGCTGATACCACCTGTCAACCAGCCGTGTGGCGCCAGGAAGCAACAGGGCACCAGAGCCTCACCAGCAAGATGCAACCTGTCAACCCAGCCACCAAGACGGCTGATACCACCTGTCAACCAGCCGTGTGGCGCCAGGAAGCAACAGGGCACCAGAGCCTCACCACCAAGATGCAACCTGTCAACCCAGCCACCAAGACGGCTGATACCACCTGTCAACCAGCCGTGTGGCCAGCCCGTCATGCCAAGACACGGCTGGAGAAGAGAGGCGTCCCCAAACACAGGTTAAGAGCCTTGTTAGCGCGGTGGCGGCTCCCTTCATCAAGTCAACCAGTAGTCAAGACCAGGCAGCCTCCTTGAGCTGGGTCCTCGGCGCTACTCTAACACCCTCTTCTGCACGCGTTCATCCCTCCTCTACCGTTCCGGGGATCAACGTCTCAGCGGCTCAGTTTCCTCCTGGTCAACCAGGCTGTTAGGGGACAGCTGCGCGCAGTCTGACGTATGTGTCACAGGCCGAGTGATCTGGTATACTGTGGAGGTGTTTATATGTTTCTCTGCTCAACACCACGAGAGGTTGGCTAGTTATGCCCCTTATTTTGTGTGTTGAACATCAAACACACGCACACACAAGCACATACGAACACACACACACACACACACACACACACACACACACACACACACACACACACACACACACACACACACACACACACACACACACACACGCGCGCATGCATACACACATGTGATAGAGCCTAGTAGGATCAGGAATCTGTTCACCAGTTGATTGACAGTTGAGAGGCGGGACCAAAGAGCCAAAGCTCAACCCCCGCAAGCACAAATAGGTGAGTACACGCACAAATGAAAATACACACACACACACACACACACACACACTGGCTCCTGACCAACATCGTGACACATACAACCAGGATACATAATACACATAGTAATTAGTCGACAGGATCGACACGGCATCAGAGGAAGAATACGTAACTATTAAATGAGAACCTACGGACACATGTATCCAATGTTCAGACCCGTATACCTGTATCACGCATCGATTACAATTAGTATAGGTATATGATCATGTATACAAGAAATACACACACACACACACATCAACGTACACACACACACACATCAACGTACACACGCACATACATCAACATACACCCGTACACATAAACGGAGAACAGCCATACCTACACCCAAACAGAAATTCACCCATACACAAAAAAGAAGTCACACAACACCCTCAGACATAAAGTTATATCTACACCCAGACACATAACAGTCATATCACACACAGAGATCACACTAACGCGATGCATCAAATGAACAAATCCACAAGGGCCGTGACGAGGATTCGAACCTGCGTCCAGGAGCGTCGCCTTAATCGACTGAGCTACGACAGTCATATCTTTACCTGCAAACCGAAAACAATGGACGCGCGTACTTTAAGTCACATCAATATTGAGACCTAAACAGACCAAAACATATTATAATAATTCCCGATGCGATATTCTCCATCCTAAAGCCCCAACACTTTAAACAAAACAAAACCGGATCGGAAATAGCCTACTTTGATAGCGGCGAAACTTCTAGAACGCGTCCCTCCCTCGAGCGAGCCACTCTTGGAGAGCGAGCGAGTAACGAGGGATAGGTGGTGGGTGGGGGGGAGGGGGGGATAGAGAGAGGCAGAAGAGGATGGGGGTGGGGGGGGACGTAGCCAGGGACTGGTGGTAGGGATCACTTCGGTGGGCAGCAGTGCCTAAGCAACCGTCACCCTCGTAACAGCTGGTGGTTCACAGTCGGCTTGATAACATAAACCAGTATTATTATTTTGCTAATTTGGCTTGTGTTGTCTCCTTGCTCTCGTGTCTTTCGGTGGTGTTTCCAGCTAAAGTGAAGCAAATGGTGTTTCCAGCGACGCTTGTGATCCGTTGCTTCCAGAGATATTTGGGTCTGTTGCTTCCAGAGGTACTTGGGTCTGTTGCTTCCAGAGACACTATGGGTCTGTTCCTTCCAGAGGCACTATGGGTCTGTTGCTTCCAGAGGCACTATGGGTCTGTTGCTTCCAGAGGTACTTGGGTCTGTTGCTTCCAGTGGTACTTGGGTCTGTTGCTTCCAGAGGTACTTGGGTCTGTTGCTTCCAGAGGTACTTGGGTCTGTTGCTTCCAGAGACACTATGGGTCTGTTGCTTCCAGAGGCACTATGGGTATGTTGCTTCCAGAGGTACTTGGGTCTGTTGCTTCCAGAGACACTATGGGTCTGTTGCTTCCAGAGGCACTATGGGTCTGTTGCTTCCAGAGGTACTTGGGTCTGTTGCTTCCAGAGGTACTTGGGTCTGTTGCTTCCAGAGGCACTATGGGTTTGTTGCTTCCAGAGACACTATGGGTCTGTTGCTTCCAGAGGCACTATGGATCTGTTGCTTCCAGAGGCATTATGGGTCTGTTGCTTCCAGAGGCACTGTGGGTCTGTTGCTTCCAGAGGCACTATGGGTCTGTTGCTTCCAGAGGCACTGTGGGTCTGTTGCTTCCAGAGGCACTATGGATCTGTTCTTCCAGAGGCACTATGGGTTGCTTCCAGAGGCACTATGGATCTGTTGCTTCCAGAGGCACTATGGATCTGTTGCTTCCAGAGGCACTATGTTGCTTCCAGAGGCACTATGGATCTGTTGCTTCCAGAGGCACTATGGATCTGTTGCTTCCAGAGGCACTATGGATCTGTTGCTTCCAGAGGCACTATGGGTCTATTGCTTCCAGAGGCACTATGGGTCTGTTGCTTCCAGAGGCACTATGGATCTGTTGCTTCCAGAGGCACTATGGATCTGTTGCTTCCAGAGGCACTATGGGTCTATTGCTTCCAGAGGCACTATGGATCTGTTGCTTCCAGAGGCACTATGGATCTGTTGCTTCCAGAGGCACTATGGGTCTATTGCTTCCAGAGGCACTATGGATCTGTTGCTTCCAGAGGCACTATGGGTCTATTGCTTCCAGAGGCACTATGGGTCTATTGCTTCCAGAGGCACTATGGATCTGTTGCTTCCAGAGGCACTATGGGTCTATTGCTTCCAGAGGTACTACAGATCTATTACTTCTAAAGACATTACTAGTCTGTTGCTTCCGGGTTATGGTTTGTTGCTTCCAGGACAATCATTATAGTTGCTTTCTGTTAGAACTACACACATTTGCAGGGCATTCTATTCAGTAGTTCAAGTCTGGTTTCTCAAGGGCCCCAATTTATGAGTTTTTTATGTTATATGATTCCAGGAGAAGATTTAGTTTATTGTCACATCAAGGACCATTAGTGGTCCGTGTTTCAGGGTTCATCAATCTGTATCTCGTAGGACCAGTGGCTTCTGATGCCGAGAGGGTGTAAATCCCTGGAAACACGAACCGAAACTGTCTCCATTTTCCGCTTGTTACAACTTGTAATAAAGTTGTTACATCTTGGCTTAACGTGTTTATGACGTATTAGAACGTTGTTACAACATGATATATTGGTTGTTATAACTTGTTAGGAGGTGTTAAAACTTGTTCGAACGTTGTACCAACGTCGTAGTTTCAGTGTGTGTTTGGCGGGATGTTGCTTTAGTTAGGCCTAGCAACCTTTGCAATCGCAGAACATTAACCCTAACTGAATGGGTTAATGTTCTTTGTTCTTGTCAGGGTTGTTAATTAGTATTTTCTTCTTTTAGGCTTTTTTTTATATACTTTTTCCTTCCGGAGTTTTCAATGTTTCTTATTTTTTTTAGTCCAGGGATCACTTGTTTATGTTTCCAGTTCCATTTGTTTACGTTTTGTAAATGAAACGGTCATCGTTTCTTGACTACGATGACCGTAGTCACTGGTCATCGTGAGGATGTGATAACCAAAACACAGATAACCAAGTTATCTGTGTTTGTTATCGGGAAAACATCTCATAGTGTTTAGTTATATATTTTATTAAATGACCCAGTCATATAGTTATTTTTATTGTGATTCAATAAACAGTTGAAGCACCGTCCGTCTTCACGAGTTGCAATTAGTGTCACTAACTAAGCAAACGTTGATGAACCACAACCCCTTCACATGCCGGGGAAGAGAAGCATTTAGGAACCTCGAGAGACGTGAAGACCAACCAACACAAGCTAGATGAACACGGGAACACTTCACAACCCAACACTCACCAAATAGGTCGCAGTTTTTAACGGTAATCAACCAAGCCGTTAAAAATGCTACTTATTATTAACAATTAAATCGCCGTACTATTGACGCTATGCATCGGCTTTAATAAGCTTGGTGGGTTGTTTGGGTTCGTACGTTTCTAGTTTGGCAAAACCGTTGCATTTTGTAACGGAGTGGCAGTGTGAGAGACCATGGTGCATACAGGCACATGATAATGGTCTGAGGATGGTAGGCGGGCCTCTATAGACCGTTGTTATTAAACTTGTTTACAAACATGACCAGAATCAGCTGATGCCGTTATGAACGCAGAGAATGGCAGACAAGGGTAATATTATGTGTATGCGGAGGGCTTAGCGGCTTGAAGGTTGATGAACAAACTGGCAGGTTTCACGAGGTAGCGAGCAGCAGCCTGTTAACGGAAGGGCTTCTGACAGGGGGGCTATGAGACCCATTAACCTCCCGCCAAACACTCCACACCTCTGACATGTGGACCACAACCACCTCTTCCCGCTTGTCATAGTCACCACGACGCCAATATTTACCACTGTTGAAGATCATATCCAGGAGCACAACACTGCTGCTCCCACAATTTCACAGCGCCACCACAACACTCACATTCCTACACCATTACTACAAAAAATGGTAAACACAGTCCGTACTCTTGTTTAGGCCACACTACGCTACAACAAGCTGCTCAAACACCCCCCGCAAGGTGGCAGGTGTATGCGGAGAGCGCCATTGTCAGACAGAGACAGAGAGAAAGATGAGATCGGTGAAGCGGGGTAAGCTTATGTCTGGACGCTCAAAGCCGCCGGCAGCGGGGTGTCGTGAGCACCGCACCGCATCAGGCCCCAGGCCACACTGCCGCTGTCGCTGGCCGCCCGTGCCGCCACACCTCTCCTCCACCGCCACCGCTGCCGCCACAACATGCTCCTTCAATTGCATACTTGATCACCGCTACCTTGTCACTAGTTAATCTTCTCGTTCCCACTGCGCTCTCTAGCATCACCACTAGACCCGGCCAGCTGAGAGAGGGCCAGGTGGTGGAGCCAGCTGAGAGAGGGCCAGGTGGTGGAGCCAGCTGAGAGAGGGCCAGGTGGTGGAGCCAGCTGAGAGAGGGCCAGGTGGTGGAGCCAGCTGAGAGAGGGCCAGGTGGTGGAGCCAGCTGAGAGAGGGCCAGGTGGTGGAGCCAGCTGAGAGAGGGCCAGGTGGTGGAGCCAGCTGAGAGAGGGCCAGGTGGTGGAGCCAGCTGAGAGAGGGCCAGGTGGTGGAGCCAGCTGAGAGAGGGCCAGGTGGTGGAGCCAGCTGAGAGAGGGCCAGGTGGTGGAGCCAGCTGAGAGAGGGCCAGGTGGTGGAGCCAGCTGAGAGAGGGCCAGGTGGTGGTAGCACGCTCACTAACAACTAGTGTGACCGACTGTGACAGGACTCAACATTCCCCTTCACACGACTCCCTCACTAACTCCGCTACACCGCACAGATTACTATGATACAAGGTCAACACTCTGCCTCCAACAACACACACACTCATCCACTGTGCACTCCAAGTACACCACTAAAAACAACAGAAAGAGGAGCCGAATGTCGACACACATGAACCAGATGCCGGAGGGACAGTGGGAACATTGAATGACAGGTGAGAGCGAACACCAGAGACCTGTGACCCTAGGTGGTGGGGTGGCGACCCTAGGTGGTGGGGTGTAGACACTAGGTGGTGGGGTGGCGACCCTAGGTGGTGGGGTGGAGACCCTAGGTGGTGGGGTGTAGACACTAGGTGGTGGGGTGGCGACCCTAGGTGGTGGGGTGTAGACCCTAGGTGGTGGGGTGGCGACCCTAGGTGGTGGGGCGGAGACCCTAGGTGGTGGGGTGGCGACCCTAGGTGGTGGGGTGTAGACCCTAGGTGGTGGGGTGGCGACCCTAGGTGGTGGGGTGTAGACACTAGGTGGTGGGGTGGCGACCCTAGGTGGTGGGGTGGAGACCCTAGGTGGTGGGGTGGCGACCCTAGGTGGTGGGGCGGAGACCCTAGGTGGTGGGGTGGCGACCCTAGGTGGTGGGGTGGCGACCCTAGGTGGTGGGGTGGCGACCCTAGGTGGTGGGGTGTAGACACTAGGTGGTGGGGTGTAGACCCTAGGTGGTGGGGTGTAGACACTAGGTGGTGGGGTGTAGACCCTAGGTGGTGGGCTGTAGACACTAGGTGGTGGGGCGGAGACCCTAGGTGGTGGTGTGTAGACCCTAGGTGGTGGGGTGGCGACCCTAGGTGGTGGGGTGGCGACCCTAGGTGGTGGGGTGTAGACACTAGGTGGTGAGGTGGTGACCCTAGGTGGTGGGGCGGAGACCCCAGCCTTGAAGGAGTCGCCTGCAGGAGACACACAATCCCTCACCTATCGAATTAACCAAGCAGGTCAACCAGACTAGCACCCTGGATGGGAGCCGGTCGGCCGAGCGGACAGCTGGACTTGTGATCCTGTGGTCCTGGGTTCGATCCCAGGCGCCGGCGAGAAACATTGGGCAGAGTTTCTTTCACCCTATGCCCCTGTTACCTAGCAGTACAATAGGTACCTGGGGTTAGTCAGCTGTCACGGGCTGCTTCCTGGGGGTGGAGGCCTGGTCGAGGACCGGGCCGCGGAGACACTATATAAAGCCCCGAAATCATCTCAAGATCTCAAGATAACCCTGCCATTACGACTATATAGCAATCAGCTGAGCACCGAGAGAGAGAGACGGAAATGTTCACAATCAGCTTCACTCTCATTACATATCCTGAAATCCTCCACACACCGTCAGAGATCCTCAGACTGTTGTTTCTAGCATCGTCTTGCGACACCACACATAATACGAAGCCACAACAGAATCAAAGATACCATTATCTAGCTTAGTAACACACACATAAATACATATCGGCAGTACACATGTGATAGTTGTAACGAAAACAAGGCATGTTGCATAAGACAACGGGTCAATAACAACAAATTCTCGCGGGAAAACCCTACGGAGAGCCGCACCCACATTTCACTACTGTACGCCATTTCTCATTCAAAGGTCAATGTTCAAAGTTTGTATTATTTACTATTAGTAGTTTGTTGTTGTTGTTGTTGTTTGAACCGTGTGAATGGATGCGTTTTAATAGGTGAGGTAGAGTGTTGAGGCGGCGGTAACCTGAGGTGACCCGGGCCAGGTGGTGGTGACCTGAGGTGACCCGGGCCAGGTGGCGATGACCTCAGGTGACCCGGGCCAGGTGGCGATGACCTGAGGTGACCCGGGCCAGGTGGCGATGACCTGAGGTGACCCGGGCCAGGTGGCGATGACCTGAGGTGACCCGGGCCAGGTGGTGGTTACCTCAGGTGACCCGGGCCAGGTGGCGATGACCTGAGGTGACCCGGGCCAGGTGGCTGTGACCTCAGAAGACCCGGGCCAGATAACAGCGAGAGGGCTGGTGTGACCCCACGACCTTCACATGTCTGCCGCTAGCTCCGCCACACTCGATCTGACTTCCAGTCACACCAACACGCTTCAGAGCCACAACAAATCCACCCCATGCAGACCTTTAGCTCACACTGGTGCATGGGGCGCCCGCTACGCCAGCTGTCAGACCTGACAGATCGAAGTGTCTCAACCTCTACTCAGTAGACACACACACGGGACAAGGAGGAGTGGCGGGGAAGTGGGGATATGCTCAAGGATTTCAAGTGGGTTCGGGTCATATACAAGAGACCTACTGCTAAGCTACCACCATCCTCCACGTACAGGTAATAATGGTGAAACAAAATTGGAGATTTTACAAAAAGGAAATCGGGCAAGTTGTTACCGGAGGCGTGGGATCACCCGGGGTGTGATGGGCCCGGGGGGCCGCTGACACTAACACGCGAAGCGATCACGTTATCCCCACACACCAGCTGTCGAACTGGTTTGCAGAGCCAAACTTTCACGGCAGACTATACAGGTCTGTTACCTGCAGCTTTGCAGGTAAACGCAAAGAACTAGCTCCACAGCACGAAGGTCTAGCGCCATAGCAGAAAGATCCAGCGACTCGCTGGGCTTGCCACAAAGTGCGACTCGCCACAAAGTCCCAGAGACTCACCACAAAGACCCAGCGACTCGCCACACAGACCAAGCGACTTGCCACAAAGACCCAGCGACACGCCACAAAGACCCAGCGACTCACCACAAAGACCAAGCGACTTGTCACAAAGATCCAGCGACTCGCCCCAAAGACCCAGCGACTCACCACAAAGACCCAACGACTCGCCCCAAAGACCAAGCGACTTGCCACAAAGACCCAGCGACTCACCACAAAGACCCAGCGACTCGCCACAAAGACCCAGCGACTCGCCACAAACAAATTCGTGCATCTTTCTCCCCCAAACAAACATTGACTGTTTTTCTTTACCACACAACAATCTGGAGCAATTAATCAGCAACTTTGTGATACATCAAACACCGAGGCAATCTTTTATATTCCATAACGTCGACAGCTGCGAACGCGTGGTATTGTGAGGGAGGAGATAACGGAGTAGGGAAAGGCACCCCAGGATCGATGAGGGGGGGTGGGGGAAGTGGTAAGGTGTGCCACATGAAGACTGTGTGAGGAGGGCCACGCTCCTCACCATACCTGCCTCACAGTAATTGGACATCTGCCCCCACACGTGTTCCATATCTGCCTCACGGTACCACATCTCTCAGCCTCCAATATAACCTATACACCTGTTGGATTCACCAGAGGCTAGAGACTCCCACCTCTGGGACACACCAGGGACAGGAAATACACCTGGAAGATACACTTTAAACTCCAGGAACCTGCGTACACACCTGGGACCGAAGCAGCACACAATGCTTCTCTTGTGATTGGGTTGTTGTTGTTGTTAAAGATTCGCTACCTGGAACTAAAAGATCCAAGTAGCACGGGCTATGGTGAGCCCGTAGTGGAGTAGAGCACATACTCTCACATTATTGATCTACGTAGATAAAAGGGAATGTACGTGTCTGTTCGTCTGCTGGTCTGGTTGTCCAAGGATAGAGGCCCGATGCTTGGGGAATTAGTCTCACCCAACTTCCACGCATGACGAATACGGGGTATGGGAGTGTCATAGGCCAGTCGGGGACGGCGCCAGTGCCACACTTTCAGCAATATCGGTATTTAACTCCCACCCCGCCCATGCTATTATTATTGTGAAGTCTGAAATATTAGGTGTGTTGTCCGGAGAATTATTTAGCAATTTCAGTGATTTGTTATACAATCTATACATAGGTGTCGGAACTAGACACATCATAGCTTTTTATACTGGTGCATTTAGGCCTTTGGGAGTCGGTAATTTATATGCTATTACACCTGAATGTTTTGGAACAATATATAGTCTTGACAGAAATGAGGAATTTCAGCATCACTTGGCTAGTTCTTGACACTTTGTACTTGCCTTCATATAGTCTAGAGTAGCTGCACAAATGTAAATGACTAGAATGCAAAACATTCTAGTGTGTGGTCTGGTCAATAAACTAATCATACCATGAAGTTACAGATATTTGCACACACACTATTTACATCAACAGATCCTGGGGCCGTCCCGGCGCAAACTCACTCCAAACACACAGCTCATACAACAGCGATCTGACTTCACCAGAACTCAAAATGCCTGCCAGTAATCCTTATCTCTGTACGAGTCCTTCCTTCATAATTCCAAATCCAGTTGCCTTAGTCTATCAAGTAGACCTGCTACATCACTATATATATCTAACATTCTTAATTTAGTTGTATTTCCTAACAATTAAGTTGGTATGTCTGGGGAAAGTAGGAGAGGCCAGTGATAAGAGAGTGCATGAGAAGAGTTGATTTAGCTTACTGGACGGGCGATCCCTTTCAGACAAAATGA